ATTTTAATTTTCCTATTGAAAGCATAAGAAGAGTGCTCCATTCATCTTTCTAGGAAAAGATGTTCTAGAGCTTTGAGATCATCACCAGCCACATAGGACTATCCCTTACAGCCCATTTTTGTATATTTAAAAACATGTGCCCATGGAGAAGATCATGCTATTCTCCATATGAGATTATTCAGCATGATGCAACAGGCAGAGCATGAGAACAAGAAATTCATTGTTTCCAGGTGTATATTTACTGCAATATATAAAGTAATCTTTAAAAAACTCTCCAGATGATTTTCCTGACTTAACCACAAACATGAACATTCCTTGTGGTAACTTGGAACTTTTCATTGCAATGTGAAAAAACAGCAGTGACTTCCATGATTCACCAGCCTGAAACTCTTGCAAGAATGGAGTCCATGGATGCACATAGTGCCCTAATGACCCTATACCAGGGGTACTGCATTAGACAGGAAAGGGGCAAATGAGTATGAACTGAAAAAAATGTACTCACTGTTCTCATGCTAAAACAACAGACCTTACTTGATGTGTATTTTTAAGTAAACCTTCATACAAGGGAAACCCATGGATAGAGTTTAAAAAAGGAATAATAAGCAGGATCATTTATCAATTCAAATTTCTTTCAGCCCTACCATTCTCCACCCTGAGCCTCAGCAAGTAGCAGCACCTTGTTGACCTTCTTTGACTGATCTGGGAAACAAAGTATACTCAGACCTGGTTTGTCCTTGGGTGTGGGAATATTAGGGCTGACTAGCCTGAAAAAGCAATGGAAACTACACCAGAAAGAAAATATTTTATACAGGTAATACTCGACTTACGGTGGCAGTTAGGGCCAGAACTTCCACTGCTGAGTTATGCAGTCGTAAAGTGCAATTGCATTGCTTAGCAACAGTAATCTGTGCAGTCCTGGTTGCTGTTGTTAACCAAATCTCTTGGTCATTAGGTGAGGCAACTTTCTGCTGGCTTCCCACAACTAAAGTAAATGGGGAAGACAAAAGGAAGTTGCAAGTTGCAAGTTCCAGGTCTGGGAGTGAGTGAGGGGGTGCGCGGGGGAGGCAAAGCAAAGGTCAGAGAGGGCTTGCGAGCGGGTGCACGAAAGGTGTGGTGAGGGTCGGGGAGGGAACGCAAGAGGGTGCACAAGAGGCGTGGGTTGGGGAACATGCACAATGGTGCAAGGGAATGCGGGAGAGGCGCAGAACGGGTTGTGCAGGGTGAGGCGCAAGTGAGGGAGGGTGTGTGGGGTACATGAGTGGCCAGTGCAGCACAAGCACAGAGGGGCTGGGAGAGGGTGCACAGGTGGGGAAGACTTACCCCAGTGACCTGCAGTCTTCCCTGCCAGCTTCCTCACTGATTTTCTGAGGAAGCCAGCAGGGAAGGTTGCAAATGGTGATCATGTGATCACAGGGCACTGCGGAAAGTTCCAAATGGTGTTCATATGATTGCAGTCGTAAGTGCAAATCGATTGCCAAGCACCCAGATCACAATTACATGACTGTGGTGGTGCTGGGACAGCTGGAACTCTGAGGAACAGTCATAACCACCATTCATTCAGCGCTGTCATAACTTCAAATGATCATTGAACACATGGTTGTAGGTCAAGGACTACCTGTAGATGCAGTCACCAGAAGTCAAGCTCAATTCATGGGTGTCTTTATTTTTTATAGTCTACCCTATCCCTCTTACTTTGACTGATTATGCACTATCAAGTCATTTTTGACACCTAGCAATTTTCTCCATGACAATCTATCCCAACCTGTTCTTTCAAGTTTCCCAACTATGCGCACATTGCAACTCTAACTGAGTCCATCCAATCTTGATGCTGGTCATCCTTCTCTTTCCTTTCACCTTTCCAGCATTACAGCCTTCTCCAGAGAACCAGATCTTCACATAATGTGTCCAAAACAGGATAAATACTTACCCATTTCATATTCTGTGTGGGTAAGTAAGTAATCCTGGCTCTTGAAATGGGATGTGGGTGTGCACCCTTAAGTCAGTTTTTGACTCCTGGCAACTGCCTGGACAAGTCCCTGAAGTTTTCTCGGCAAGATTTTCGGAAGTGGGTTACGATTACCTCTTCCTAGGGCTGAGAGGGTGTGACTGGCCCAAGGTCACCCAGCTGGGTTTGTGACTAAGACGGAACTAGAACTCACAGTCTCCTGGATTCTAACGTGATGCCTTAAACACTACGTCAAACTGGCTCTTGGAATGGGATACTCTGATTTTACTTTTTATATTAATATGTAAAATTGTCCCTTATATTTTTCCATCAAAAAATAGTCAGAGCACCTAGCTGGTCTATTAATAATGCATTTTGAATTTCATTCAGAAGCTCAGTAGTAAATTTCTGTTCCCAGACACTTAAGTAGATGAGATGCTAAAGAACTTCCATTATACGGCTTTATTCTGATGAACAACAAAACAGAGAGTTCACTAGCTGTATCCAGACCAGAGTTTAGGTATTAGATAAAAGGATGGATGCATTTAGTATTTTGCTAAATCAGAGCTCCTGCATGGGAATAATTACAATTCTTCTAAAAGCTACATCAAAATGGGCATTGATTTTTAAGAATAATACTTCTGTAATTTTATTTTCCATCCTTGCACTTAGCCTTAATTCCACTATCAAGGAGCTTCTCTACTGTATAATAAACATCTTTAAAAAAGACTATTCTATCATCTATAAGATTATAGAAACAGACCAAAAAAAAAAACCAGGTATTGTAGCCATGTCTAAAGAATAACAGAGCTCACAGACTTTCCCTGTTCATATTCTTCCATTATTTGCAATTCTTCTCTTGGGAAACTTCTGAGGCTCCATCTCTGTTATCTTTCCACAAGCAGATTTAAGGTTTCCTTTTCTCTTTCCATTACCAAGGGCTGATACAGCAAATCAGTTTTTTCTGCTCTGCTGCCAGTTTTCTTGATTTTGTTTTGGTTATAGATTCCTTACATTTCATTACGTTATGAACTTTTATTATATGAATATTTCAGTTTTCCAATATAAACCATTTTAGAAATGTATGAATAGAAGTAGGATTTAAAAATACAGACCACCAAGTAAAATAATATAGAAATAAATAGAATCATCATGGATGAAAACACAAAGGATCAGCAAAACCTACACAACTTTTTTATGGTGAAGACAATGGGGTTCAGCATTTACATTCTTTGTCAATGTATGCGGACTTGTCAGAATAGGTGTTGTAAGTTTAAGGAAAAGGACAGATGGTCCATTTGGAGAATATATGGCAATTGCTGCAAGCAACTTTTTTTAAAAAATCCAACTTTTATATATTTATTTTCCCAAAGTCAAGCAAAATTTCAGAAGTTTGCTTACGTGGGTGTGTTTGCCTTGATTAGAACTTTGTAGCAAGTTAGAATCTCAGCTGTGCATGCTTTTGCATTGTATCCAACCCCACTGTGAAATATGAAGAAAAATGTTTTTGAACATAGAGAAATTCTGCAGAAGTATTTGAAGAAAATGAGGAAAAACCATGCAGTTAATAGAATTTACTTGGGGCATATCACCAAGGTATTAAGGCACTGGGGTAGAAACCAGGAAACTGAGTTCTAGTTCTGCCTTAGGCATGAGACCAGCTGGGTGACCTTGGGCCAGTCATTCTCTCTCAGCCCTGGGAAGAAGGCAATGGCAAAACACTTCTGAAAGACCTTGCCAAGAAAACTACAAGGACTAGTCCAAGCAGCAGCTGGGAGTCAAGACTGACTTGAAGGCGCATGTACGCACATACACACACATCACCAAGGAAGGAGATCTATATACACAAATAAATAGACATATAAGCTGCACAAATTACACAGTCTTCCCCCCAGTTGAACTCAGCACATCCATGTAATTTTCTTGGCAACATATAGAAGTGATTTGCAGTGATTTGATTAAAACTTCGTAGTCTATCTAGCTAGGGTTATTTGAGGGCCCGCCTATCTTCCATCATTTCTGCCTGGCTGGGAAGATCAGGCAGAGTAGATATAGGCCAATTCCCCTCTATTAAATAATGCCATCTATCCGGACCTAGGAAGCATGAGTTCTCTATTCAGTGCCTGTCCTCTGGTTTAGTATCCCCCAGAGATCCACATAGCTCCTACCCCAAGTCTCTGAAAACCTGGCTGTTCTCTCAGGCTTTGGGGTAGGGGCCTGTATAACTGAGTAGGTTTTTTGTAGTTATGTTTGGTTTTACTTTTCTGGATGTCCATGAATGGTTTCTTAATTTTTTATTCTTGCTTTTAAAATGTAAGCTGTCCAAAATCATTTGGAGTCAGGTATTGTCTAAGCTATATAGATAAATTCCAAGCTTTCCTTCCAATGCCTTCCTTCTTTTGTATTATTTAGTTTGTAGATTGCTGAGGAGGCTGTGTAATCAGTAGCAAGTGAAAACATACTATATAGCGACACTGCCCTAGAAACATGTAAGTGAAGTCTCCAAGAGGGAGGGAGGGAGGGAGGGAGAGAGGAATATACATACACATATATACATGACAGACACCGCAAACATTCCTACACAATTACAATCCATAGTTTTTAGTGCTCAGTAATTCCATAACAGAGACGGATAATTTACAATATGCATCAAGCACCACATTATATATAAAATGTATATTTCTGTCTTCCATCATCTTCCAGTGGAACAATTAAATCTGCTATAGAACTGATGAAAGAGATATGCAAATATCTGTCACTTACTTGCTCATTTAACAGAGATAGCTATCTGGGTAAAAGGCATACCTAAAGCCATCTAGGATAAGAGCTTCTGCTATGGCTGTACAGGTGAGTCTGTGAATCTAAATAAATATTCTTTTCTGCCCACAGGACTACCTATCTTATGTTCAGCAGACTAATCTTGTGGAGGTGATAATCTGTGTGTGCTGTTAACCCACCTTCATTTACAGCTCTAGACTAGATTCTGTCAATATTGCGCAAGCTAATTATGAGGATATCCTGCACAGATACATCCTTGAAAGACAATTAGTTTTACCTGATTTGCTGAGAGAAACTCCTGGTTATTGTCATTCATTCCCATATACATGTTCTCTCCGTCAAACTGGAATGACAGGAAAAAAAAAAACATAATCAAAATGCAAATATGCTAGAACCTTCAAGAAATTGCTAAATTCTATAAACAGCCGTTCTAACTGCACTTTTTATTGCTTTTTTTTTTTTACTGCTGAAAAATAAAATCCTAAATCTTAAGAAATTTGGCGCAAAATAAATCAAAATCACAGTATGGATCTTACAGAAGTTTCATGAAAACTGGCCTGCAGTTATCTAAAAAGTTGTATCACCACTCAGCGCAATGGAAAATCAGCATGGTGCAACATGTATAAGATTGCATGCATCAGTGCATGCACCTTTACAAAAAGCAAGGAATTAAATTTCATAACCTCTAAAGAATGGGTTGTTTGTGGAAACCATATGGAAAAAGGAATCTGTAAGGAGGGCGATTAGGAAATAAAAAAATAAGTTCAAGCTTAATTAAAAAACCAGGTCTAGGACACAAAGTCTCATATCACACATAGCTACTTGAATGAAGGAAATAATCTAACAGTATTCAACAGGTTGCTCTCCCTACTAATCATTATTAAGGCAAAGCTCTATTATGCAGTAGGAAAGAACTTTTATAAATAATAGATGGATCTAAATCACATTCATTGCAGAAAATCATAGAACTGAAACTAAATAGTTTGGCACCAGATTATGTAAAGAATCATCTATTCTCATATCTGTATCTCATTTCTTCTGGGGCCCAAAATATCTTCATTTGAGACTCTTCTTCAGGTGATCTTGGAGTGAGGCAGATACTGCATGAGGAAAGGAGGGGTTTTTTTTAGAAGTGAGGTCCCATTTGCAGAATTCCTTCCCAGATATACTCACCAAAAACCTTTGGCCCCAGGTGAGGACCTCTTCATTCTTCCAGGTCTTTAAAGCATAACTTTACTGCTGCTTTAACTTCCTTTACTGTTTTGCTGCTTCATTTACTGTGGTTTTATTTATATATCTTTACTGCAAATTATCATAGTTTTATTCTTTGTACTTCCTCTTTGTAACAGATTTGCTTGGTCACCACAGAACTCTGATTATTGGGCAGCAGAGAAGAAAGGAAGGTAAATAGCAAATTTATTGTCTTCTGTCCTTTCTTACTGGCAATGAGCTTGGTCATAACAAAAAAAGGTAGGATTGCAAACTCTAATTTGGAGAATCCTTTCAAAGAACTAAAAGTGCATTTATTTTCGTTAGAATTTCTCCAGAATCAGCAGTGTTCTATCTTATGTCTATTTAGGGAAAGAAGAAAGAAGAAAACTTTAGTAAACTGACTTGTTATGGGGGAAAGTGTGTTCTAGTTGTTTTTTGGTTGGTTGTTGTTTCTTATTATTTTTAATATTGTCTGGTGTATTGTGAACCACCCAGAGTTATCTGGAGTTGGGCAGCATCAAATCAAAGCAATAAACCAATCAATAAATAAAATGATTCTGATGTATACATCCACAGGTCTAAGAGTGTCTATTTATTAATTAATCAACAGAGAGTTTTGAACTATGTTTTATAACATTGTAACTTTACAGTAACTTACTTATCATACTAAACTTTTATTTGCTAATGCAGCAGGCTTTCTGCAGGTTTGTATGCCCTACATGTTATTTGGACTCCTCATTCATAAATCTCTGACCACAGCTAAAAATCTGACTATCTCACCTAAACTGTAACTTTTGCTATTATTATATAACAAATGTTCTGATTATTTTACATATTTTACATTAAATATTTAAATACCATTGGTTGGCAAGCATCTACCTTTAATATCAGTATCAAATACTGAATATTAGACAGAATTCAATGTAAAATTAAGAAAGGAGAATTAAGATGAATTAAATTATTCTAATGAAAAATGTGCAGCAAGCCTCTAACAAAAGTTTGTACAATGATTTAGTCATTAAAATAATTTACAATTGTGCAATCCAGTGGAAATAATATAGCTAAAGTCCTTAAAAGAAGGACTGTTTACAGCAGGTGGTTTCCAACTTTTTCAGGCCACAGAACATGTTAATTAAAAACGAAAAACAATCATAGAAACTCTGATCAAGAAGCAAAGCTCTAGTGGTAAAAAAACTGGCTTTTTTTTTTCTCACGAAACCTGTAGGGCTGTGCGAGAACAGAGGGGAAAAAACTGGTCTGCAGAATCATTCATATGGAATGAGTGTGTAAATCAGCATAAAATTTCCTTTTATTTTCCCTAAATATTTTTGGGGAGGTATACATACAAAACTGTGTTTTCTTCCCCAAAATGCTTGTTTTCCTACTTTACAATAACCCCATTTTGGCTTTACAGATATAGCTCAAAATGTATATTGCAGATACTATTATAATTTACACATACATGCATACGCGCACACCCACTTACCTTTCATACACACTTTTTTTCTGTGAAATGTTTGAGGATAATAAGGAGAAGGGGAAATTACAACTTTCATTCCATCAACAGATGCTACTTTCATTAGCACATTATTAGATTATTTCTAGTATTCTTACATTGCATTACTTTTCATTTTTTCAGACTCGCAAATACTGTATTTTCTATAGTAGTTTTAAATGAAACTCCAAACAATTAGTTTTAAATGAAAGAATTATCTTAGATTTACCAAGGAAATGGTATGCAGACAGATAAATTCATTTTCCTTTGGGAAGGGTTACCTTAAACGGTCTTGTTTTTGAGTGCATATGGTATTCCCTAACTGCATGGACATGGATACATAAACACTACAGATTCTAAGCCACCGCAGTTGGTTCTAGCAACTGATGAGCGACATCTAGAAATCAAACTAGAGGACTGCATCAAACACTGAACTTATTTTACTTCAGATGGAAGTTACTACACTTTTGAGCAGCAAAAGTATTGGTCTATATTTTTCAAATCATGCATGTTCATTTATCTGTTATTTTCCATCTTCAGGAGGCGGTCTAATTCCATCACTATTATTCTAGACTTCAGCAGATGTGTGTATGCCTTTCTTAACTGTGCTATTTGCTTGAAAGCCAATTCAAACTCTCCCTTTTCATAATTCCAATTTGGTAATACATACCTATTTTATTGCTTTATATACTATTCTTTCCCCTACCTCAGTAACCATAATGAAGCCTGTCTTGGAAATTACTATGCTTCTGATTGCCAAGCAGTGAAGCTGAAAATCAACTCTCAAAATTCAATGAAAACTTCAGAACTTCCTCCCTGCAGATTAGATTTTTTTAACCCCTGAAGGCAGTAAGAACAGAAAATTATTATTAAAAGAATTTGCTGCTAGGATATTTTTTTCAATTAAATGTTTGCAACTTATGCTATAGCCAGATATAGTAGATGTATGATGTGTTATCATTGTGCTGCAGAAAGCAGTTGGAGATGATCAGCTTTATAATTCCACCCTGATTTATGGTAGAAACAAAACATTTTAATATTTCCCATTTGTTAGAATGATTTTCTCCTAGTTTCGATTAGAAGTATCTCCTCATGTATGTAAAGATGCTAATCAATTTCAGGATATAAAGATGATGTATTTATCATACTCTATTTCCAATAAAAATTGATCCAATTTATCTTTAATCACCTAAGCATGGTACACAATAAAAACTGTTCTGTTCATTTGGGGGGGAAATAGTTGAGAACTATTATGTTAATTACCCTTTCCCCCATGCCACTGATTATTAAAATACATTTCCACTTTGCTTTTCTGCCTTTTGAAACAGAAAAAGCATGGTGATACCTAATCACAGGTATCTAGCCATTCTAATTTAATGGGTTAATTACCTATTAATTTGTACCTACACAGTCAACAAAAAGTCAATAAGTTAATATCAAAATAGGCTAAATAATAATAATATTAAATAAATAACATGGAGACTAAATAATATTTCATACTGCAGTGCCTTTACAGATCCACTTAAAAATAAATCTTGTTGGTTTTGATAATGCTTATTCTCAAGTGTATATACATAAATTATATAAATGATTTTTTAAAATTAAATAATCAATATTTTTTAAAAATAGAAATAGTTAAACCTGTTGAAGAGAGCCAGCATGGTGTAGTAGTTAAGGTGCTGGACTAGGAATAGGGAGACCCAGGTTCTAGTTCTCTCTTACACAAGGAAACCAGGTGGGTGACCTTGGACTAGCCACCCATTCTCAGTCCAAGTCAACATCAAGTTGTCCTATAAGCTGGCTGACAAACAACCCTCCCTCTTCACATCATGCACTGATGAGCATCACATTAGACAGCACAATGCAAAAACAAGTGGACACTGCACATGTGGGGCAAATGATAAGAATATGAAGAAGAGTCAAGCCTGTTGAAGACTTGAGCTTAAAACTGAGTACTGTGTCTCATAAGGAAGATTATTGCTAGTTTTATTGTATGCCACCCAGGGTCACTTCATGTGAGATAGGCGGCCATATACATTTGCCAAATAAATAAATATTCAAGATTAAAACATACCTGGAATTAGTATTTTGGATTAAACTATTTTTGATACCCATTTCCTGAACTTCAAATGTTATAATACATGGGTCTTTCCTTTTAGCTTTTTATTTTCTGTTGAACTATCTGGACTCCTACTGAAAACATACTCAAATATCTAGATGCATGAATGCTTTTCTTCCTGATTTTTATCTTGCTACTACAGTGTTCTATTTTTGTTTCTATTTGTTGGCTAATAAATGCCTAAGTGTAACATCAGGCACTATACAAAAAAAACTAAAGGAAAGCACGACACTGTTTATAGTCATTATCTCAAAGAAGATGAAAAATTCATGTAAATGGAAAGAAGACCAGGAGCAAGACTGAGTATTCCAAGTAAAAGTTGTACAAATAAAAAAAGGGGTGAGAGAGGCGGCAAACAAACTGAAAATGTGGGATTTCACAAGAAAGAGGCAAAGGTATGAAAGTGCCAGCAGAGTTTTCCAATTTGGTGCCCTCCAAATATGCTGAACTATATTTCCAATCATCCTCAGACAAATTGGAGAAGGTTGATTTACAGACAAAGAGAAAGCACTTATTC